TAAGGAAACCAGGGAAAAAAGTCTCATCCTAAAATGATCATTTTTCAATTTATTATGAATTAAAAACTAACTTAGATAAAACTATGAAAATAAAAAGAAAATAGATGGAAAAATGATAAACGAGCGTGTTAGATAGCAAACATTTCATGTTATAATACCAGACTTGGGCCTAAGAGGGGTGCGCTTATCAAGTTCCCATAATCCCAAAACAATTAACAGAAAAAAAAATGAAAGGAAAATGGAAAACGTGTGTGTTGAATAACAAGTGAATCACGTGTATTTTCAGACTGGGCCTCAAAGTGGTGTGTGGATAGCAATGTACTCATAAGCCCAAAGCCACACATTAAGTGAAACGGTGCGTTGAACTCTTCTCAGACTCCCTCACAAAATTGAAACAAATCCTGGTCGTTGGTTGAGGCTTCTAGTCAAAGTCCACTAGGCAATTAATGGTGAGATCATCATCTTCTACAATTTGAAAGTCTGGGAGGGAAACACACAGGACGGTGGCCGGAGGTGGCGCCGCCGTCGTCCCCAAATGTGAACATCACTAATCTTCACCAAATCCTACACCTAAACACATCATCATGCTCGTTTTTTCACACTGAACCTAACCATGCTCTCCACTCTCACTGAAAGTCTCTCCACCTCAAAACACGAAGAAAAATTCAGAGCGAGCTCAAAATTTAATCCTCACCAATCTCAAAATTAAAGTGCCCAACATCATCACCACGCTACACTGAGTAATTACCACTATCTAACTAAGCTCAAGTCATCAAGATCAGCAAGAACAGTCCATCACAAGAAAATTGGTCACCTAAGATTTCATCTCTAAACCTCAAAATTCTTTACCAGAAACGACCTAGCCATGATCTACATTGCATCTAACCATTTAAAACCTAACAATTCTACCTATATCAAGCTACATGATGAAGTTTACTAACCTGCAAAAATCTGATGAACAAAGGGATGAATCCTTCAAGGCACACTCCAAAACCTTCCAGATATGATCAATGATGCTTGATAAAGCTTCTGTATGCAATTAATTGTGTTGAATCCTCTTGAATCACCAAATAAGATTTTCAATTGCAAGCTTGAAACTTACAATGCTCCTTCTTGATTCTTCAACAATCTTGGCCAGAAATCTATCCAAACTCACTCACAAACTCAAGATTGAGCTTCTGAATGCACTATCTTGCTTTGAGATGGCTTCAATTGGTGTAACCGATTCTGTTTTGCAAGGTGCAAAATCAGAATTCTATCTCTCAACCCTCTCTCAATCTTCACCAACCAATGCCTTGAATCAATCATAAACCTTATATAGAACCTGTAGGAATGCTCTAGAAACTTCTGAAATGATCTATGTGAGATATCCAATATCTCTTGCACTTGAAATTATCATGAGAAGTTCATCCATGACAGATGAGTTTTAGCTTGCTTCCATACCTTGATTCTGATCCAATTTCTCTCCATATGATATTTTAAAGGTGTTAAGAATGGTTAGATCCTTGGTTTTGATCCCATGAATGGTTTGGCATATGTAACTTATATGTGAAGCTACCAAATGCAAATGTGTTCAAATGACCTCAAATGGGAAAATTGGCATTGTCATCATCTTTAAAATCTCATTTCTGGTCAAATTGATATGTCATATGCCCCATTTTGACCTTAAAACAAAAAAATCACAAATTTGACTTTTTAAATGACTTTAATTCTTCCTTTTTTAGGCCATTTTTGCAATTTTGTGATACAAGCCATTCCAATCACCCATGACTTCTTATCTGACGTAAAAACATCATTTTAAACACATTTCATGTTGGACACTTTTTCATTTGAGAAGTGGAAGATAGAGATTTTGACCTATGTTGAAAAAATGACCTATAATCATCAATACCCAAAATACTCCTGGATTGCCAAGATCATAACTTGAGTTCTACAAATCTTCTTGAGGACTTATAGTACTAAAATTAAAGGTAAGATCAAGCCCTACAATTCTTATGTTGGCCAAGAATCCATTTGAAAACTCTTTGATGGGCAAAAGTTGCTTGGAAGTCAAGTGACTTTCACAGATAAATTTCAATGTCCTCTGGTGACCTATAACTTGCAAGAACCATAACTTGAGTTCTACAAATCTTCTTGAAGACTTCTAGTACTCAAATTAAATATATTGAGAAGCTCTACAAGTTTCATGTTGGCCAAGAATCCATTTGAAACTTGTATTTTGACTTATGTGGCTTGGAAGTCCAGTGCTATACAGAGGATTTTACCCTAGGAACCCTGTCTCAAACACCTCCAACCACTCTTGATTCTCTTGAACTTGATCTTGACTCATCCATACACATGCTTCAACATATCAGCCCATGACTTCCATGACCTAGAGCTAGGTCTTGATGCTCTTTCTTTACTCTCCTTGACCTAGGGTTACCCAGATGAAACCGTACTTGTACACACCTCAAATATGGTTCTTGAACTTGATACCATGAATTGTCTAAGCTTCAATAGGGCTCTCTAGGCCTCCCATGGGATCCATGCACACCTCAAATTCATAATTCCATGTTGATGATATTCAATACACCTTAAGTTAGGAGAGAAATCCACCTGTGGGCACTCAAACTTCTCAAGACTTCAAATCACTCCTTGATGACTTGGATGGCCTCTTAGGCTCATATAACACCTCTAGATAGGCTTCTTCTTTTGACAGAAACCTTGATCCCTTGTTGGAGGCATGCTATGCTAAGATGTGCAAATGATTAGACTATGTATATGATGTGACCATGCAAATGAAATGCAATGAAAACATAAACCAGGTGAAATAGGTTGAGCAAATTTTAGGGTGAAACACCATACCTTTGAGTTGGTATAGTCTCCTCCTAACTCTATCACCATCCAACTAATAATTAAGAGCCATTATATGTTTCCCTTCAATAGTATTGTAAACTAAAGTCTAAAACATCTCCTCGTCTGAAGCCTCGCCAAAAGTAATATGAATGCTTATAATAAATTTGAATTTTCTATGATCATTCTTCCACAATTTGTAATCATTCACCCCCTTCAAGATAACCAATGAAGACACACTCCACAGCCATTACTTTAAGTTTATGTCGCTTGATATGTTAAAACTCTAAAGCTCCAAAAATATTTATATTGAAGCAATCCAATGGTTTCCCACTCAAGACTTCCATAGGTGTTTAGAAGTTTATTCATGTGGATGAACATCACTGAATTAGGAAAGTTGATGTAGCAACAAATTCACCCCTGAAAATCTTTAGTAACCCAACTCCAAACAAAATGCATCTTACCCTCTCCAAAATAGTCTTATTCATATGTTCTGTTAGGCCATTTTATTGAGATGTTTCAACAATAGTTATATTCTCTTGATGCCTTTGTTTCTTGCAAAACTCATTAAATTGCTTTGAAACTAAGTTCAGACCATTATTAATTCTCAAAACATTCACTTTAGTTCTCAACTAATTTTCTATTAGAGTATACCATTCATCAAACTTCTCAAAGGTACGACTTTTACACTTGAAAATGTAGACACATACTATTATAGACAAATCGTAAGTAATAAAGAGGAAGTAGAGTCAACCCCCATGAGTTGCCACCCTTACTAAACCCCATATATTTAAGTTGTCATAATCAAAAAGTCTACTAGAATTATCACACTACTCCCAAACATCACTCTCAATTGTTTACATAATATACAATTATCATAAAAAATCCAGTTTATTCAATTTTTCACTCATTAGAAATATCAGTTTAGCAAGTTTAGCTAAACCATTTTCACTAACATACCCTGATCCCAAATGTTATAACTTAGTTTTGCAAGCCGTATTTCCTTCGATTCGAAAGAACCCACCTTTTTTTCAACTCCAATGTATTAAAATATTATTTCATTTGACACATCTGATAGCAAAACCTTATGTTCATAACCCAACTTTTCTTTGTTTCAAACTTGTTACCACTAGTGCGTAAACAATTTTTTGACCCTCTTCATATAAGGAAACTGCAATCTAATTAGAAACTCCCTTCCTCCTTATTTATGGATAATTCTTCTTGAAGCGACCAGTTTTATGATAAGTGAAGCATTTAAGTTAAGACTTATCAAAATTTAGACTTTGAATATTCTCTCCCCCTCTTCAGATTTCATATACTTCCACTCATTTCTCTTGAGACACTTAAGCTTTCACCATTATAATCAATCTTCAAATATTTCATCTTTGATAATTCCTTTGACATTAAGGTCGTCTGAATTTCATACAAAGTGATAGTACATTCATTACCGAAAAGAAGGACATCATTTATTGAATTACAATTTCTTGTATCTTTGTTCTCCACAAAACAATATCTTTTATGTGTGGTACGAAGAATAACCGAAATCAACTAAATATATTAAGTGGAATAAAAATATAAAAAGAGAGAACACAGAAAGTGTTAACCTAGTTCGGTCAAAATGATATATTCTAGAAAGAGAGTTGCTCTTTGATTCACTCTACTTCAAAATTATTACAAGAGATTAAAATATCAGTTACAAAAAATTAGTTAAAGTTCACAAAAGCATGCCATATTTTCTACTCAACAATTTTTCAATCTCTCCGACTCTTAAAAACAATGTGTTTGTTCCTTAATGTCTTGCATATGTTAATGTCCTGCATATGATGTAAGTATGGCTGTTCACTGTTTTATCATGTACTCCAAAAAAAAAATTTAATTGTATTTACCCATACTACTCGCTTGTTCACAAGGGAAAAGACCGTTTATTTATATCAGCCCATTGGTAACATTATTCCTTTGGTTAACCAAGTCAATCAGATTGTATTAAAAATAGAGGGCTCTAAGCCCAATATGCCAGTTGTATTTCATTGATTAAAGTGTGAGAATTGTTTAGGTTACCCATAGATAACAAAATTGATGTTTTATATATACATCCTCTATAAATTCATACTCTTAAATTACTGTAAGTTCCATCCATCACATACCTCTTATTTTAAGTATACAAAACAATGAAAATCACATTGCTAGCATTTATCCTTCTCTATGCCTTGTTGAGCTCTAAACCACTTCTTGGAGCAGCTGATGCTTCAAGTGAACAAGTGGTTGACACATTAGGTAAGAAACTCCGAGCTGATGCTAGTTACTACATTCTTCCGGTTACACCCATTTACAGATGTGGACCTTATGGCAAATGTAGAAGCAGTGGATCAAGTCTTGCCCTTGCAAGCATAGGGAAAACTTGTCCACTTGATGTTGTGGTTGTTGATAAATATCAAGGTTTGCCACTTACTTTTACACCTGTTAACCCAAAGAAAGGTGTTATTCGTGTCTCTACTGATTTAAACATCAAGTTCACATCCAGCCCAACTTGTCTACACCATTCCATGGTGTGGAAGCTTGATCGTTTTAATGTTTCTAAGAGACAGTGGTTTGTAACTACTGGTGGTGTTGCTGGAAATCCTGGTTGGGAAACCATTAATAACTGGTTTAAAATAGAGAAGTATGGTGATGCTTATAAGTTGGTGCTTTGTCCAAGTGTGGTGCAATCTTTCAAGCATCTGTGTAAGGATGTTGGAGTTTTTGTGGATCAAAACGGAAATAAGCGTCTGGCTCTAAGTGATGTTCCTCTCAAGGTTAAATTTCAACAAGCTTGATCTTAGATTCTCCAATATTATGTCTTAAAAATAAATGAATACGTATTTCCTTTTCAATAATGTTTAAAGGGATCCTCAAAGTTAGGGTTCCTTGTTACAAATAAAATAAAAATGAAATATATTTATGTTTATCAATTTATAGTCACTTTTAAAATTACATACAAAGAGTTTGGTCTGATCCACATGTTTGGAAAATGATGTTCATTCATATCAATGCTTCAAATCACGAACACAACAGCCCAAGTACCATAATAAAATCAAAGTTGTGAACATCTATATATAAGAACTATGAAGTTGGGTATAAATCTTAAAACAAGAGAATAACCATTAATTTATAGGTATGCATTAACCGATGATTTTTTTAATAGTAATTAGTTAGATATCCACAGCCGTTTCAATATTTTCAAGAGACTCTAGAGACTCTGTGTACGAAGCTGAAGTATATTTTAGTTAAGTCGTGAAATTTTTTTAAGAGTTCTTATTTAATTATAAATAGAAGCTTTTTTAGTTTAATCATGAAAAATATGTGAGGGTCACCTTTCACGACCTCAAATACGGTCATATAGATACTCGTGTGTCCGCACGAATAAATGTAATTGGTAGAGTATAAGATAATGAAATGTATTAATACAACACGCTTGAGCTTTCTTAGCCATTGTCGAGTTAATTTCCAGAACGTGCTGCATTGCCAATTAGTCATGTTATAATATATAAAGGTTGTAATGTATGAGAAATAAGGTACATAAACATTCCAAAGACATTAAATAGTGTTATAAAAGATCTATTTTAGCATGAAACATAGAAGACAAATAAAATTAATATTGGAAAAGAAATACAAATATAAGAGAATGCAATTATATGCTTCATTAACCCAAGTCATTTAATTCCTATTTATATATAAGATAGCGCTGCATAGTTGAACAATTAGTGATATAAAAATTGCAATTAATTGAACAATTAGTCATATAAGGCAATGATGAAGATGAATTTCTTCTACGGATACACATTATAGCATTGTTTTTTCCTTTTTTTTCTTATGAAAATTGTTAAAAAAACTTTTTGATATGGTTAGTTGCACAATTGGAACTTCCAACTGAATTGCTCATCTTTTCATTTTCTAGACTCAACTCTACCTTGATTTCCACAACCACCAAACCAGAAAACTGACAGTGACACTACCCACCATTCTCTCATAAAACTTTGGTCGTACAATATCGACGAACCAGTCTACTAACTCTTTTTCTGACAAAAGAGAATCTACCTGAGAGGCAGTCTCTCTCCATCTTTGTGCATATTTCTTGAAAGATTCAGAGCTTTTCCGCGTCATGCTCAACCGTTGTCTTCTGTCTGGCGCCAGATCTATATTGTACTTATAATGCTTAATGAAAGCATCAGAAAGATCTTGGAAGCACCTAATATGAGTCTGATCTAGGCCCAAATACCATTTTGACGAAGCACCTTTCAGATTGTCTTGAAAACAGTACGTATCGTCAACTTACCGTTATCAACATAGGCAGCCATTTTTCGGTAGTACATGATCAGATGGCTTTTTGGGCATGAAGTACCTTCATGGTGATTAAAACTAGGAACTTTGAACTTCGGAGGGATAATCAGACTAGATACGAGACACATTTCTCTGGCAGGAGTGCCAAAGATTTGATCTCCTTCTACAACCCTCATCCTTTTCTCAATAGTCTCGACATTCTCACGGAACTTGTCATTTTTCTCAAAATCATATTCAAATGTATCAGGCACATCATAAATAGGTTGATGCTCATTGAAGTATGGTTGCAAGCATGTATGCACAACAGCTGGTGCAAATGTGGGAACTATGTGTGGAGCTTCAGAAACCAGAGACACATTTTGTTGAGTAGTAGGAGTCATAACAGGTGTGGACACAAAACCAGGAGGTAAACCATATGGAGGTAGGCTTGTTGTAGTAACGATTGCCGGCGAGGGTTCCACAACAGTGTTGAAAATTTCAGAGACAACAGTGGGATGAGTGTCCATTTTTACTCGTATAACCTGAAGCATCTCCATAATTTGTCCTACGTTGCCACATAGGTCTTCCTACTTGTTATTGACTCAGTCCAGTTCATGATTCTCTTCTGCCATCCTTCTTCTGACCTGAGCACGGGTATTGTACTGTTGTGGAGGATTCAACTTGAAAAGTGGAAATGACAAGATGAAATGAGTTTTGCTTGAAGACATGCAATGCAAATGTGATAACAGATGCAAAATGTGAATGCAAATGCAAAAAGTTTCGCAGAACTTAATAAATATTTGCAAACATCAAGGAGATACCATCAAAAGAAACTCATTTTTATTAATCAAAAGAGAGGATTACAAATTTAGTACTTCTTACAAGAGTTCAAAACAAAAAGCTAAATAAAAGCTAACAAAAGTCATAAGGAGATTCTCCATGATCAGCTTCCAAGAAGTTGACTGAGGGCTATAGGAAAATAAATCCTCTTGCACCTTCTTCTTCTTACAAGAGAGTACTTCTTTAGTCTTTATTTGTAGTTGTCTTTGGAGTTTTGCGTTCTCTTCGAAGATAATTTGATACTTTTTTTTCCAAGCACCTTATTCTCGTTGTGCTTTGCTCAAAGCGATCTTCAACTTCCCTGCTTCAGACATGAAAATTATAGTAGGCTCTTTCTTTAGAATTATGGGCTTTTGTCGAGGATATGGCATTTTCAGCTTGATGGCCCTATCTCAGACCCATTGGAGATATGATTCCAAAGAAACACAGTTAGGCTTTCCCAAGTCTTTCTTTCCTCTCCTATGCAAGTGACGCCAAGCAACCACAATCTTTTCCTTAAGCTTATTGCTATCTCCACCATCCTTGAAGAAGATACTCTCCACATGAACACCATTGAATTTGTCTATCAACAGGTAACCTAGCTGACGACGAGCCAAGATTAGATTGTAATTGATCCCTCCTTTGGTACCAAGAAGAGGTACATTGACAAAGTCTCTAAAACTATCAATGACCATTACCCTATCATATACATGATTGTACCAATCAATATCAATGAGTAAGAGACATAATCTTCTGTGACCACCACAAACCAATCTTGAGATCCCAAGAAGAGTTAGACTTGAGCAAGTGAGAAATAAACCACTTATACAATAATGGCACATAACATGTTATCATCCCTCCTCTATGGAAGTTCCTTAGGTGAACTGAGTGATAAGCATCTGATAACAAGGTAGGCACTGGGTTCTTCTTTAGGAAAATCTTGATAGCGTTGATGTCAACGAAGTCTTCAAATCTAGGGAAGAGAAACACACCATGTATGAGTAAGGCAAGAATAGCTTCAAATGCATCCATACTCATGTGATCTGCATAATACTGAGCTCTACCTATCAAAAAATTTGTGGTTAACCCAAAGACTCCTCCTTTGGTGGTCATGTTGACTTGAATTCTGGACAATCCCAAATGTGTAGCTTTGGCAATGTCTTGGTCCTTAGGATCTTTCTTCAAGATAAGAAAGGGAGACTCATCAAGGATAAGCAACCCAACTAGATAAGAGTACTCTTCCAATGTAGGAACAAGTTAATAGTAGGGGAATATGAAACTGTGGTAGACTGGATCATAGAACTGAAGTAGTATAGTGAGAAGTTCATCTTCCATCTTTGTCTTCAACAGAGATAACAACTTCCCATACTTGTTTTTGAAACCTTCTTGGTCTATAATGAAAGCTTTCAATCTCCTTAGGTCGTCCAACTTAGGACTCTTGAAAGTGTACTTGAAAATATTTTTCCTTTCACGATCCATGATAATCCTACAATGTTTGCAAACAAAAGCTCTAAGTTCCATGAATTTGTTTTTAAAAATGATGCTTATGCATGCATGTATGCATAAACATAACAGGGTTAAACACAAACAAGGTTTAAGGCTTGCATGAAGTCAAAGGTTTACCCCTCATATTAGGTATGTACTAGGGTTTATTGTGTACTTGTACAACGGGTTCTAACAAGTTCTCAAAGTCATCAGTCCATCTTTCGGATATTGTCAATTTCCCAGTTACTCGGTAGTTAATAATATTATCAAGAGAACTTCTTTTGAGTGTAGTGTCGCGTATAAACTATTTTGGATCTACACCTTCATAGACATCGCGCTATGTTGCTAACAAGGCCAAGTGAGGTTAAAGGTGACTAAAGGTTCTCAACTTTGTAGGCTCAATCAAGAAATAGTATCGTTTTCACAATCTCTTGATCAACAATACTTATTCTTAAAAGTGCCTCCACTGGGTGGTGATTTCTCAAGTTAGCTTGGTCGGGAATCAACTCCATATAAACCTTCTTGAATATACCTCCTTCCTATCTTATTTTATGCTCAATTCAAAGGCTGAGACTTATCTCACCACATAGGAAGTAACCACCCATGAAGAACATTAAGAAAAATAGCAAACAAAAAAAATAGCACAAATATAAGCAAGTTAGGCTCAACCCTCCAATAGTCCCTAGTGAAGTTGCCATTTCTGTTGTGGTGAGAATTACATATTAAACTATTGATTAACTTGAGTCACAAATCTTTAAAATTCACCACCGAACTTTTTTTTATCCAAGGGAAAGGGAAAAGATCGTATAAAACCTAAGTTTGCAATGTAACAACAATGCTAAGAGATCTAGGGAAGATATTACCATCCTAAGCATCTATAGTAGTCTATAGGAACCTCTTGCTAGTATTTGTGTTTTGTTAATGTTTTCTAAAGAAAAAGTGCTAAGGTAAATACCTAGGGTATTATTTCTAAGTATGCTCGCCAAAACTTCGTGGTCTTGTACCTACATATCCTTACAAGGATGGAATAAGAGCACTTGTAGTTCACCTCACTAGGGATGAATGAACCCTTGATTATGATCAAGGTTCAAATGGAAAGGTACGTGTTTAAAGCCTTAACACTTACATGACTTAACAAAATCAAGAGAGTTATAAAGTTCTACCCTAAGTCTAAGTTGAAAACCTAGTGACTCTAACAAGGTCAAAGGGGAAT